TTACATTGTTCATTGAGTCCTTATTGATTGAGGTGGCTTATAAATACAGTAAAGATGTAAATTCAATAAATTCCTTGCAACCCCAGTTTGTGGGGTAAAAAAGCAAAGCAGAACAAAAGAATACCAAATACATATGAATCCCAAACACAGTATTTCCAGATCCTAATCAAAACTGCATATACCCTTGTTCTGGTTGAACACCTAGTATTAATAGGTCATTGCCCTTCAAAGCTTGCCTCTGGTGTGTCTTTGCTGGGATTGTCCTGACTTTTCCAGTCTAAGAAATGATTTCATTCCTGATGTTGCTACAAGACAAAGCTCTTCACATTTTCCCCCTATGCCAAATAGATGGATATGAAAGCTTTTGGATTGTTTCATTTTCCCCACGGTAATACAACATTGTCTTTTGCCTTGCACTTTACAGGGCTTTGCTGTAAGTAGAGTGATAGTGGTCATTTGCAAGCCAAATGCAGAAAAGTGGGAGAGGTTAAGAGAGATGGGTTGGGGAGCAATCTTTCTATTTACCCATTTTTGCCAATCACTATGAATTGAGTGTCTTTAGATCAGTGCAAGACATAATATGAACATCAGGATGTCTGGTGTTTCCCCATCTGAGGAATGAATGAATATGTTTGTATTGTATGTATTCATTATCCCAAGTTCTTAAAATTCCTGTGGCTTTTCTAAAATATTATTTTCTTCAGATATTGTCAATGTGAATGAGCCAAGTAAAGGACATGCCAGTCCAAGAAGATGCAATGCAACATAGTAGATTTTTATATACCATCCCTCATGCCGAATGCCACAAAAGAATTCACAGGGACAGAAATCTAATACTTTACAGAGCTAGGTACAGCAATTCCCAGAATGGCAGAAACAGAAAATGACATATGGAAATGTAGCCCAGAAAAAGGAAGTGCTGCAATTTAAAAGGCAGTAAAGATGCAAGTAAATATCCTTGGGGAGAAGTCAAAGTGACGGATGCAGCAATAGTGTTCTGTGTCAATCGGAAACAAAGACAACAACAACTGATGAGCAGAATTAACTTAGAGACACAAGTGATTGCTAGCAGGTAGGCTAACCTTTGAGCATCAAGCTCATTCGAGGGAGCAAAGTGAGAGTTGGTATCTTGTTAGTACCAAACTGCCTCTTTCTCATCACTACTACACTCCTCCTGAGTCTTCCTAAGAATCAGGCATGCTAAATAGCCATTGAATGCAATCGTCTTCTACTGGCAGAGATGCAAACTGGCCAGGATATCACCAGGATAACATATTCTATCTTGCAAGCCAATGATCCAAGTTCTCAGAAGCTAAAGAACTAGTATGATAGAGTTGGGTTTGCAACACATTTCGATAAAAATATGCGCTAGAGGGTTGACCAAGGGATCATTCTTCTTTGGGGAAGGGGAAGCTGGGCTATCCAGTAGGGCACTGATGGTTAACCTTTTGGGTGCTGAGTGCCCAAAGAGCATGCATGCGCCAATGCAAGCGTGCATGCTGGAAACCACAAAAAATGCAATGCAAGCACCCACCTTGAGTTCCATTTGGGAACTCAGCAATTAATACAGCAAAGGAAGAGTGTTTGTTTTGGGGCGGGTGGGGTTTGTTTGTTTGCTTCTAGTTTTTGCTTCTGGAAAAAACACTGGGAAGGTCCAAAATTGCACAGTATATCTGAGGTATAATAAATGCAGCTAAGAGGGCACATGCTGCTCCTCTGGACACCATTGTGGCTTTCACATTCAGGGTGCAGATTTTTTTAAAAAAAAAGTTTGGGGAGTTTAAGAAGCAAAATGAATGCCTTAAACTTAGCCTTGAGCACTTTATCCTTAAAATCACTGAGCCTCTGAATGATTCATGTCCCACCTGGTAAAAAGTCTAAGGAAGCTCATGAAGAAACAGAATTTTTGCACTATAGATAATCCTCGACTTACAACAGTTCATTTTGTGCCCATTCAAAGTTATAAAAGCACTGAAAAAAGTGGCTAATGACCATTTTTCACAGTTATGACCTTTGCAGCATCCCCATTATCACATGATCAACATTCAAATGCTTGGCAACTGGTTCATACTTATGACCGTTGCTGTGTGCCAAGGTCATGTGATCCCCTTTTGTGACCTTCTGGCAAGTAAAGTCAATGAGGAAACAAGATTCACTTAACAACTGAGTTACTAACTAATCAACTGCAGCAATTCACTTAACAACTGTGGCAAGAGAGGTCGTAAAATGAGGCAAAATTCACTTAACAAATGTCTCACTTAAGAACATGTTAAGGAATAACCCTTGGGTAGCAAGGGTGTGCACATGAAAGCGGTTGAGAGTAGTTATGAATAAGCACAGTCATCACACAGATACACTGAGTCGTGTTATAGTTTACACAGTCCAATAAACAAAGTCTTCATACCAGTCGTATTAATCATACCCAGTAACCAGTTCTTCTAGAGTTGCAAACATTAAGACAGTAAGTCAGATAGAGATATCAGAGAGCAAGAACAAAAAAGAGAACAAGCCATGTTTCTAGCTCCCTCTTAAGGACATTGGCAATAGAGCTAACCAATCAGTACACAGTATGATGCAATACAGCAGTCTTAAAGCTATACAATACAATGCAAACATACATTGATGGTTTATATATTGCTACCCCAACAAGTTAGGTCATAGTCATATTCCTAACAGAACATAAATGTTGGGCTCCATTGTGGTTGTAAGTCGAGGACTAGCTGTACTAGTTTAGGTGATCTTTTTGACTTATGGATGCCATATGGGTGTGAGCTCCAGCCCCAAATAGCAATTTTCCAGGGACATCTCCAAAATGTGGAAATCAACAGAGACATTTTTCCACATCATAGAGATGTGAGCAAAATTCACATCACTATGGAATACACTCACCTTCTGCTGAACATGGAGAGATCATTTTGGTAAAAAAAAAAAAAAATAACTAAATTTTGCATCATTTCCACATTAAGATAAGGCAAGAACGCAAAAGTTCCTCCATCGTGTTTTACTGCACACAAAATTATAAAGCCTGTCCTAAACAGTTATTATTTTGGAATGCAATCAGGGAGTTATGTTTTTGAGTGAATTCCTTAGAGCAGTAAGCATTTTTTTTCCAGGCTTGCAAAGTCAGGGTATTTTAACAAATAATGAGTAGCAATCTCTTCACATTTATGAGAGATCCAAAGCACTTATTCTGAATTGTTTTCAAAGTTTGTAAAGCCCTTCTGGCTACATGGCTCCAGAGAAACAGATTTTTAGTTTAGCTAACTTTCTTCTGCAAATAATTTCCAGTCTTTCCAGAATGTCAGCTCAACCATTATGAGAACATCAAGGGTATACAGTAAACATTACTATGATTTGACTATTACAGATGACTTGTTTTTCAGAATCATGCCAATGCTCTTCCCTATATTTTTTTTACTGTACACCAAACAGATTTTCTTGTTTTCTGGCATTTTATATTCAAATCTAAATCATTGGAGTATTTAACTTTGCGAGTCTGATTCCCTGAGACATCTATATTATGCTTATTTATTACAGTCTTAATGTTAGGACATCAATGTCCTACTTTGGCACCTTATTAATATTTCTCTCACGAGTTGCTAATTCAGTGATAGCTAAAGTATCCTGGACAAAATAAAACGATTAACTTTTTAAATAATTATTGACTTGCTTTTTACAGTGGATTTACAGAGACATTGTCTATTAGGACTACTTCTAGCTGCCCCAGTTACATCATGTCAGTGAGAAGAGGGCAAACAGTTCTTAGATTATTATTATTATTATTATTATTATTATTATTATTATTATTATTATTATTATTTGATAGATATGGATAAAACATCCATTCTGTTATGTCTTTTCCCCTATTAAGGGGAAAAGACAGATAATCAGAATCTGTTATATACCATGAGGTACTCCAAGAAGATGAACATTTGTGCTGGGAAGAAAGAGATAAATATAACAGTTTGGTGGCACAGTGGTTAGGGTGCAGTACTGCAGGCTACTTCTGCTGACTGTAGTTCGGAAGTTCGATTCTCACCAGCTCAAGGTTGACTCAGCCTTCCATTCTTCCGAGGTCGGTAAAATGAGGACCCAGGATTGTTGGGGGGCAATATGCTGACTCTGTAAACCACTTAGAGAGGGCTGTAAAGCACTGTGGAGCAGTATATAAGTCTAAGTGCTATTGCTATAAATGTTATCACTACCTTTAAAGGGATATTTTGTGTATGAAAGTACTTAATATGATGATATCAAGGTTATGACATACAGAATGATCACAATAAACTTTACAAATGTTTAGGATTTGAAACATTTTGTATATGATGCCTTATTAATCTTTGCAGCAACCATTTAAGGCCCATAGTCCTTCTCTCTCAGCTCACTGGGTTGTTGTTATGGGGAAACAAAAAGGAGGAAAGCATATTAGTAGTTCACTGCCTTGAGTTATTTATCAGAATAATAAAGGAGAACTCTAAATAAATAAATATAGCAATTGTCTCATCAATGAGTATTTCCTAAAACAGAAATGTAGCCCTGTTTAGTCCTAAGCATTCATATAATTCTGAATGGTATATCTGGGCTTACAGAAACTCTCAGTAACCATATAAGACATTTCAATAATTTCAATTTCTCCTTGTCACTTGTTAACTTTAAGGAGCTACATTTGTTTTTGTGAAGTGTTTTAGTTTCCGAACTAAAAACTCAGATACAGTAGAATTCCATTTCCAAAATAATAGATATTAGATCAGAAAGGGACAGAGTTTTATAGGTAACACTATAACAAAGTCCCAGGAACATTGCAGGTTGTCTATCTTTAGATACTTGACCACCTAAAAATCCATGACAGAAGCAAAGGTTTGGCCAATACATTACAGTTACGTTGGGAAACTGCCAGGTAGTCTGAAGGGTGGGGGAGGGGTCAAGCAAGTGCTTAGCTTAGACTCATTGCAGAACTGCAAAAGTCATAACCTTGACCTCCCCCAAGATCCATGAGGTCTTACCTGGTGATCCTAGGTGAAGTCTAGTAGTCTATGAAGATTCTTGCAATCTAGGTAGAGAACAATAAAGTTGCTTGCTTTAGCTATTTATGAGTGGCTCTAGTTGCTTGCACCTGCAAGTTATTTTTATGTTCATGTTTATTTGCAATAAAATGTAGTTTTCATTCTAGGAATTCTTACCTTCCATCACCCCCCAAACTTGGGAAAGCTGTCTTATACATAAGTATGTATATCCATACTTTAAATATCTAGTATCACACATTATAACTATGCTGTAGGTAGTCTTTGACTTAACTAGGGTTGGAACTTCCATTGCTAAGCAATGTGATCATTAAGTGAATTGTACCTGATTTTACAATCTTTTTTTTTTTTTTTGCCATGTTCCTTAAGCAAATCTGGCAAATCTTCCCTCATTGACTTTGCTTGTGGGAAGCTCCTGGGAAAGATTACAAATGGTGATCCCAGGATCCCAGGATGCTGCAGCTGTTGGCAGTATGTCAGTTGCTAAACACCTAAATTTTGATCATCTGACCATTGGGGTACTGCAACAGTTGTAAGTGCAAGGACCATCATAAATTACTTTTATCAGCACCATCATAATTTCAAATGATTGTTAAATGTATGATCGTAAGTCAAGATCTACCTGCATTCTTAAATTCTCTCATACAGTTCTAAGCAAAATGCAATGTTTAAACCATTTAAAAGATGCTGATTTTTCATTCCACAGCCTTGTCATCCCACTTGCAATTCAGTTACTGCTGAGTCCTGTTACCTATTAATATCCCAAATTTGCTGGACTATAAATTATATAAGTTTTATTTTATCTGTTTAAAATTTCAGTAATTACTCCATCACTTTTTCAAGAGCTTTGGATATATAAGCAATTACACAGAATACTTTGTTAAGTGAATTGTATAATAAAACAGGTTTAGGCTTGTAGTAGACTATACTATTCCATAAGTATATTTCCACACCGTTAATATACTTTCTTTCGTTACAAGAGATACACTTCATATTAGTTATCTGGTATTGTTAGCAATGAAATTGCAGGTACATGAACGCTGATTTATGTGAAATAATTGATATGACATTGCAGCAACAAAGAAACAAATTGTATTCCTATTTTCTGCAGCTGCAGAACTGCCATGAAATCTGATCCATTCTAAATTGTAACAAGCTCTTGCCTCTCACTAGCACAGGTGTGCTTGTGTTTGCATATCTGATCAATTGTGTATAATATAAACAACTGATTTCTATTTTCCCCCCATCACAATGGGATATATTGTCCTGTATTGCAGGCATCCCACTGAGAATCTGGATCCCTAACAAAGGGAGACAAAGGTAGTAGAAGTAGCAATCTGTAGGAGATTATTATTTAAACACACTTACTTGGCGCAGCAAGCATTCTTTTTTTCATTTGAAACTTCCCAAAGTGAATTTATACCTACATTACTACAAATTACCTACAGGTAGTCCTCGATTTACAACATTTCATACAGTGACCATCCCAAGTTACAACAGCACTGAAAAAAAGTGATTTATGATCATTTTTCATACTTTATAACCATTGCAGCATCCTCACGCTCATGTCATTTACATTTGGATGCTTGACCATGGGTTCATATTTATGGTGGTTGCAGTGCCCCAGGGTCATGTGATCATCTTTACAATCTTCTGACAAGCAAAGTCAATGGGGAAGCCAGATTCACTTCAAAAGCATGTTACTAGCACTTAGACTTATATACCACTTCATAGCGCTTTACAGGCCTCTCTAAGCAGTTTACAGAGTCAGCATATTGCCCCCAACAATCTGGGTCCTCATTTTACCCACCTCAGAAGGATGGAAGGCTGAGTCAACCTTGAACCTGGTGAGATTTGAACTGCCAAATTGCAAACAGCCAGTAGTCAGCAGGAGTAGCCTGCAGTACTGCATTCTAACCACTGAGCCACCATGGCTCATTACTTAACAACTGCAGGGATTCGCTTAACTGTGGCAAGAAAGGTCATAACATTTCTCACTTAGCAACAGATATTTTGGGCTCAATTGTGGTCGTAAGTCAAGGACTATCTATATTAAGTTATTCTCACAAAATAACTGAAAACATTCCATCCTAGAGCAAATGAGGGCTTGAAGCTTTTAAAAAGTTCCACCTCAAATGTCTCTGGAGAACAATTGTCAACAACTCCTGCTGGATTAGATCAATGACCAACATAATTCAACATTTTATGTCATCTATGGGCCAATCAGATCCTTTCAGAAACTTACTGGATAGAGCCAATGAGAGACTGTTCTGAAATATGTTGTCAGTTGTTCAGAAGCCAATATCTACCTCTGTTTCTTTAAAATTAATTCAACTGCAAGATTAATTCTAAAAATTGGATTTAGGATAAGCCCTTTGATGCAGATTGAAATCTTGGCTCATCTGATCAATCTGGGACACCAGAACAATATAAAATTAACACAAATAAAGCTAACCATATAAAACAATATTCATAATGCCATTAGGAGGCAAGCTTAGTGAACATACAGTATACCGAATTTAAAATGCCTGGTCAAAGGCCCAGGCAAATTAACACATTTGACTTAATAATGAAAAGAGTTATTCTATAAAATGCTTATATTTTACATTCTCTGGTGATATATTGAACCATGTGAAGACTTCTCAATTTTAGATGATGCCGGATGATATTTTTATTTCTGTTACATACCAGTCTGATTTCAGGTCTAGTTTAGGAAAAGAAACAGCTGTTGCAGATAACTTATGCCAGAGTTGAATATGAGAATGTAATTCCATTGGTTCTGCCATGTTTCTCAGCATTTTGCAATATCATTGACCATGGGAGTTTTCTAGAGCACCTTAATAGAGTATAGGATGCATTATTATGAAATAGCAGCTTATAAATAATCTTTTTTAGAAAATGTGGAAGCAAATTTTCAGAAGATGGATGCAAACTGTAGCTATAGAAGACTCTTTACTATCTCATTGGATGTAAGGGGCATTCCTGTGAGATGGAAGGCTTGGAAAATACTTTTAGCAGAAGATGACTCATTCGGGAACAGATGGTAGAAGATGAAAATATCTGGTTTTGCTGAGAATTTGATGTTGGGTAGAAATACCCCTCTTATTTGTTTATAGAGTAACAGTTTCAAGGAAGAAGACAAATAATAGATTGGAAAACACTAATTTTCAGGAAGCTAATGCAGCTTTTTTTCTTGAAAGATATAGGGTTCCTTTAGCTGTGATGGACAATGGGGATAATAAATGGAGGCCCACATGCTCATATTTATAGATGCTTGGAAACATTTATTTGAAACCTTTGCTGTAGACAGTGAACCAAGTAAGAGAATAGAGCATACCAGCTGATAGACATGTCCTCCCAAAATCAGAGGTGGTATTCAGCCAGTTCGAATAGCACCGACAATCAGTTGGTACCGCCCACCCATCCCCGCTCTATCCTGTCCTTTATTTCCTGCTTTGTAGCTCATCTCAATTGTGCGGCACAGCTAATTTCCTCCCCCCTCGCTCTTCTACTTACTGTTGCTGACTCGGAAGGTAAGCAGCTGAGCTTCTAAATACTCCATTTTCAGCACAAGCACCTTGCACGCACAAAGTGCACGCTCAGCGAACCGGTTGTTAAGCTGGCAGCATTCCACCTTTGCCCAAAATATTGTGAAACAACTTAAGAAGAACCAAAATGAACCAGAGAAACATAGATGAATAATCACATATCCCAGAAATAGTTCTCTAAAAAAGTAATTGGCTCGATTTCATGATTTAAGAAGCCCTAGCAACTAATGATCTAGCTGTTAACAAGTTCTGTTTTGTCCTTCATGCTTTATAACATCTGTATGAAATCACTATGATAATCATCATGCAGATGGTTCCCTGCTGTGTCTCAGATTCCCATCTACTTATCCCAGGAAGGCAATGGAACAATGCCTGGAGGCACATTGTGGATAAATGATGATGATGATGAACAAGCTAAAACTTAACCAGAGAGGACAGGAATCTTTGATGAGGCTCTGTTCTCTCTGATAGATGATATACAGCTCTCCTGAATTCAATACTAACCAAGAAACTCAACTGGTAACAATGATTAGGAGTAACTTACCAGCTTCAGCTGATATGCCAACTGTAAGCATATCAAGAGATGATGTCGATGAAAATTCTTAGTCATCAGGCTTCTCAGACTGAAGAAGCTCCTTGGATAAGTAGCGAAACATTTCAAACAAAAAGAAAAGAAGTCTAGCTGCCATGACCCAACTTCCAAACTTCAAGACCTGTAAAGATACCTGGAAGAGGTATCTATGCATTAATGATATCCACATGATTCAAAATGGAGCTGCCTGGAAACCTAACCACTTGAATTATCCTCAAGGGATAAGATAAGCAGTCAAATCATGTGATCATACTTATTAAACATTTTTCTGTATTTCTTACCCAGGAAATCTCCATCCATATCTCCTCACTGTGGGTATGCACATCTGGACAAATAATTAAGCTGTACTGATAGCAGCCAAAAAGATATAGAACTCTATTCCAGATAGAAATATATCACTATTAAGCTTGCTAAAGAAAAGTTTCTATAAAATATGGACTTTTTTTTCAAATTGAGGAATTAGTGTGAATTATTTTATTATTATACTCTAACAGAATAGAGTTTTTTTATTATTGTAAATAACATTTATATACTACTGAATCCCTAAAGATTCTTGGTGGTTTATAAAGAAATAGCTAGAACCAATTCCATTGCTGCTGGTTAATACTTTTCCTGAGTTTAATGTTTTTAAACGTACAGTAGGCATTTATTATTTGGAAAACTGCTTTGGAACACAGTCTACAAGTACTCTAAATAAATAAACTATTTTTCCTAGGAACTATGAATATAGATTGTAATCCTTTGCTTATTTTTTGCCTTATTGGAGGGGGGGGTGTTACTTCACATTGGTGAAGTAACCATTCAACGAACTCCAACAGCAGAAATTCTTTGCCCTTATAATAATTTCAGATCAGTTTGGAAGTAAGATTACTATTTCTAAAAAAAAAAAAAATCTGGATGTGGTATAAATCAATTATTCTCTTCTCTGAAATTATTACTCTGATCACCCCAATGCGTGTGATGATCTGACATTAGTGGTACTAACATAATGTTGAAGTGGTAGGGAGGTCTCCTCTCCACCTTCCCAGTGTGATTTGCTACTCTGCATGGTTGCACACCAGCCTAAAACAACCCCTGGGAAATGTAGTTTTCACAAGGCTTACTCTAATGTGTTATTTGAATCAAGTATTATGAGCCCTGAGAGTCATATTTCCAAGGCTTGAATTTCAAATCTCAGTGACATTGTGAGTTAGCAAATGGTTAAAGTTTATAGACTATCTCTGGCTTTCAAATCTGTTCTGAATATTAAAAGTCCTGAAATATAGACTGAGAAACAAAGAAATTGGTGCCTTTTGCTAGCTATTATTTCTCCAAGCAATTCGCCCTCTCACCTACCTGAACAAGTCTAGAGAATGCGGGTTATTATGAAAGAGACTTTTTGTGGTTTTTAATGTCTGAGTGCATAATTACAAATCAAACATATTCACATTATTAACTTTTATAAGTTTATTAGTCTCAGTGCTAATGAAACCATTCATCCCTTGCAAAGGCACATGGCTCCCTAATGAAACTTTAGTAGATGGAAAAGCAGTTAAGTGAATACATCCAAATGTTTATGCCAAATTCTTTGTGCTGCAGCGAGAAGACCACATTGCTTTCAAGCAGCTCTCAGAAACTAACAAATAACTTCAAGGATACCCACACAACAAGGTGTGTTTTTAGGTATGCACACATTTACGTTATAGAAGTACAAAAGCATTCTTCCAGTAACATAACTATTTAAAGTTAATTAATTTTATTCTTCTCAGTATAAAAAAAAACAACAGCATTGGAAAAATAGAGAAATATAAAATAGATCTTTTCCCCTAAGTTCATGTTGGAGCAGTCACTGTAATTCCTCCTATGCTGGGAGATATAGCTATAAACATTCTAGGAAGAATTCCTTTGGATAAAGATTTGGGAAAAGTATTTGACTCACTTCAAATTCCAGAATAAACTACATACTGGCATCAAAATGCAGCAACATTAATCTGTCTCCCAGCCAAAAATCTGTTTGGGGGAAAAAAAAGAGACTTCTCAATATAAAAAGTATACTATTGAAAGTTGCATACAAACAGTAGTAATTACATTTAAGAATTGCATTAGGAAAATTGCATTTAAAAAAGCCTACACCACTGACATTTACATGTTAATGAATGAAAGCAAGATCATTTGCATTTTTAAAAAATCTCTTGGGCAATTTGACCAAACAGTTATGTAAATTAGAAGATGTGTACAAAATCTCCATATGTTATGGATGATAGCAAATGTAAATGGTTGTGACATTTTCTACGAATTGTAAAAATAGGAAAAAGAAAGATTGGAAGACTTCCCTTCTAATATATACAATAAACTGAATGGTGCGGTTAGCAATTTAAACACATCCAGACATTGTGGCCTGCTCCACTGCATGTGTTTTGCCACCCTTTCTTCCTGTCACGCCTACCCTTCCTCCAGCAAGTTCCCACCCAGTTCTATATTACAGGTTAAAGTCTCAGCAAGATTGACCTTCGTAGCAAATCCTTGAAGGAGAACAAACTTGTTAAAGTGTTGAGCTCAATGGGAGGGATGAATTTTCATTGCTCTGAAGACAGCAACATATCTTGAAGCATCACTGCCAGATTTCCAGACCGGGTTACAGCACAAGGCCTTCCTATCTGCTGGATAATTTGATCCTTTATCCCATAATGCCCTTGCCCAATTATTTCCCCGTGAATGGAACCAGGTCAAAAACTGAGAAGGTTAGGCTCTGTGTCCTGCCAGTTCAAGCGATTTAGTTATCCATACCTGAGGAACTGAAATGTCACTTGCAAGGAATGGACTCCCCAGTGTATCTTCTCTGTAGATACAGATACAGCTGCCGGAAGAGAAGAAGTAGGGAGGTTGTCCTGATTTATTTTTAACAAAAGAAAAGAAAAACATGGTGGTGATAGGAACAGAATCAATGTCACCAAGGCCAGTGTATCTTCTCTGAAATGCTACAGAGGTACAGCAGATAATTATGCAAGAGAAAGAACACCCACCCTCCAAATTAGCAAACCTATTTAATGTCTGTGGCAGTGTTACAAAGGCCAGTTTGATACCTTCAAGATTTATTAACAGTAGGTTCCAGCAGTTATTTAAAAAAAAAAAAAGCAGACATACACCCACATCCTACCCAACGCTATTTGGATGTCTGGATGCAGGAAATAACAGCCGCCACCCCTGTTCTATTATCCTCCTCTTACTACAGCAGAAGAAAATTTGTGACATCAATGAGAAAGAGAAGGGAACATATGGCTGTAGCTGAGGGAGCCATCCCAAAGCCGGGCCAGATGCAAATCTGGGAGAAAAAAAATCTGGCACAAGACCAACTCCAGCATTTGGGAAGCACTATAGCAGGAATACTCCGCTGCATACATCTGCTTGATTTTTAATGGGCTTTGCCATTCTAGCAGTTAGTGAAACTTTGGCCAGTGATGATGAGGATTTGTTTTAGTTTCTCATTGTATTCCCATTCATTCTCTCTCTCTCTCTCTCTCTCTCCCTCTCTCTCTCCTCTTAAATTGTTTCACAAGTTCAGTGATTTTTAACAAGTTGCTGAAGTTGGATGCGTTCTGCAGTCGCCTTTGAGTGTCACAGCAATAAGCATATGGCGAAATATTAAGTCTGATTTATCTTAAAGTGATAGTCCCTTTCTGTTTATTACCAAATTTCAAAAAGATGACTTGAAAAAAA